CTACGATTTCGACCGCGGTTTCCGCTACGCGTACCAGTACGGCCACCTGTTCTTCAACCCTGTGCCGGCGTACTTCAACGGACAGAAGATCCCGGTGGGTTACCCGTACGGACGCGGCGGGGCGACGTATGGCGGAGCAGGGTACGGCTTCAACGAAGGCAGAGGCAAGAGGAAGTTGGAGGAATACAGCCAGGACGCGCGCGATGATGGGACCGCTGTCGTCGGCCGAGCGACGTACGTCTCGCCGACAGTAGACGACAAGGAAACGTACGCGTCGGCGACGGATGCCGGGCGCGCATCGTACGCGGCACCGACGACCGGTGGCCGGGCGACCTACGTGTCGGCGACGGACGGCGGCCGAGCGACGTAACTGGTGATGATGGTAGCACAGTCGACGTACGGGTGGGATGTACGGGGGGAATGTGCATATACGAAGCATTCGTATCGGCATGCGTTTCTGTGATCAACCTCGCTGTTCCAACCACGCGTCAGTACGTTTGACACTTGGTTTCATTTCATTCGCATTTCTCGGTGGACATATTCACCCACCCCACACACACACAGGCACACTCGAGCGCCCTGTGTGCGTAGTAGGTATGTGCTGTTGTCGCCAGTAGTACTCAAGTGATTATAGCTATACAGCTTTGGACTGTAACAAAGGGCCGGAACAACGTTCACTCAGCCTCAAGCTTGTATTTAATATTTATCCGCACTTACGCATAATCGTCCCTATCTTCCCAATGCATGCCTGCTCCTGCGCTGACTAGCTGTAATGCCACGGTCGGATGAGCACTGAACTAAAATCATTTCCGCGCTTTTGTAAAAAATCCGCCATCTTTGGTTATCCGCATGGAATTGAACAGCGCAGCGCGCCATTGAAGAGTGCAGGTCACACACCACGACCAGCATGATCCATTTACTATAAGCGATCGAGTAAATTGTTAGGCCAGTTCAAGAAGCAGCGCGCTAGGTATTCACACAATACCCTCTATAGCTATTTGGATTCTCCGCTTCTGCCAGCGTGTGTCGATTAGACGTACCTTTCACTGCAATGTACGGCAAATCTAATGCCCTTTTATCGTCGGTAATGTATGGCAAGTTTGTCACATGCGCACTGAATCATTCAGCGCACGTTTCAACCTACATATTGACGAATTCCTTTCCTAAATGTGTGTCACACCATCGCCATCACCGGAGCGGTAGACGGGGCGTATATATGTTACGATTTTACGTTTACGGCTAGTACGGTACATGATTCACAATGACATGTTACCGCTGCTCGATCTTCTCTGCCTTTGTTAGCGAGCAATGATTAATGCTATGCGATGCTCGTGTGTATATGTTTCGGAAGAAAGACATTTGCTATACTGTTAAAAGAAGTGCAAACGCTGTATATCTGCATCTATCTCACACACACTGCTGTAACGTGTACTGACTTACCCTAAACAGACTGAATGCGCGCGTGTGGAGGTTTTACTATTATAACGAAATGCGAAACTAGATGAAAGTTAGCTGTCATATTATGTTATGTATAGATATGTCGCGAGGGGCGAATGTGACTCATCAGAAATTAGATTCATTCTGTGTAAAAACGTTTTACAATCACGTCATTTGTTTCATTTTAACTTATTACAAGTAGCATTTATAATAAATAATTAATTTATATGATAAATTGCGTCTAATATCTTTTTCATTCATGTCTTATCTTTTATACTATTCGACGCGCATTTGGTTTCCAGAAATGTAACGATGCTTGCCACTAGATGGCGCGTTGCACCGAACTAAAAGGGGACAAACGGTTGCATGCGCGCGGGTGCATGTGTGTGTGCATGAGTACGTGCGTGGCGTGCGTGGCGTGTGTGTGAGCGTGCGTGCGTGCGTGCGCGTGCATGTGCGTATGATTGTGTAGGGCCTATAACGTACAATAATATATGCACGCTTCAAATAAACGTACAAGGGTGAATAATCTAGAAGTAATAAATAATCTGCTTGCAGGTTTTCACCTTATATCATATATTACAATACTTATTTATTAATTCTATCGTTATTTAAAAATTGTAACTATAAATTGCTAATTTAAAACTTAATACGTATATGTAAATAATAAGTATGCACATGTAAGTATATTTACATGTACGCATATTCCAAGTCAAACACGCTGAAGAAATCGGTAAATGTACTGCATGTTACGGCATCTAGAAATTTTTACATCTTTGGTAATTTTTTCACCTTTAGTCTCTTTTCCCGAAGGGTTTTATCGAAAGAACTCGGCCCGGAACCCTTGATTTGATCTAGCTACGAACGGCTTTATCTTCTAATATCATTGCTGTCTATCAGTAGTACATTATGGGGCTTGGTAGAGATCCAACCTACGATTCACAGACCATCACAAAGAACGCGGTGACTTTGAACGTGTCCTTACGATTTATTCTATGACAAATGAAATTTCCACTCCTAAGGCGAACAATAGTTAAGTCTTAATGTATATTTCCCCAGTTAAGGTAGGTTCAAATTATGCTCCATAAAAAAATTGTGGTAAATCTTTACTATATTTTTAACTTTTTTAATCACGCATTTGCTTCCACCACCGGTGTCGCCACTGCAGGCGCCTCCACTAACGAACTTGCGCTACGCAACTTTTAAGCCACAGGCATAGGCAACAGAATTCTTAAACAGGACATTTTTGTATTCATGGATTTAAGAAAAAATAACTGCGGTATCTTATATTTCATTAATAGTTTCAGTTAGGTTACGCGTGTATTTTTCGTGAACAATAAGGCGGTTGGTTAAATAGTAGTTAGGTATAAATATATTGACACGTTTGTGAATCATGAACTGTCGTGCCAGCCTCAAATTTAAATATACTTAATATATAATATATGTATACCAACTTTATGAAATAAGAATCATAGTATACAACCGCACTTCAGTGTATTATTCTTCTCTGGGATAATTCATACACAGGTGATTTTCTGAAGTAGTAGGATGCAACATTGCGGGAATAAAAATAGTTCTTGTTTTTTCTTAAACAAATTCACTTTTATTGCAAACATAAGCCACGTGAACGCGCAGCAACAGCAGCGGCGCTTACAAACAGCACCAGCATTCCCACGCAGTTAGATAACAGCTCAACACGAACAAGCTCATACCATTCATCGACGAATATAAAATGAAAGAGCAACATCGGGCGCGGAATACTACGACAAAAACAACAGTTAACAAGCTGAAATAGTACCAAAAGCGACGACACACGATTGCACATAAAATCAAACAACGTATTTACAGCGCATGCAAAGCCTATCGATATAATATCGATCATAAATATACTTCATTCTTTACGAAATCACTTCCTACCGCTGCCCTGAGCAACGGGAGCTAGCAGCCATCCTAGACTAGGATCCATCGCCATCCCGGCACCGGCGTAGGCACTATTGCCGAGCGTCGAAGGGAAGAACGAGTGAACGGGGAATCCATTCGTCATGTAGGCACTGTTTGCCATTGTCTGCGATAGATTCGGACCCGGACTCGCGTACGCCGGAAACGCGCCCGGATGCGCCGACGGATGCGTGTTTGCGACTTGCGGCTGACCGAGTTGATGTCGGAATCCGGATGATCGAGCTGGTGCTCTACCGTAGCCGGCCGCTGGGTTCGCTGCAGCTGTCGGCCGGTTATAGTAGTTCTGCAGACGACCGACGTAGTGATTTGGAGCACCGCTAGTTCTCGTCGCTCCCACAACGCTACCACCCCTGCGCTCATGATTATAAATTTTACGCGCTGGATTGTTAACACTGGCAACGTACGGCTGTGTCGGAGCGCCGCCGTTGCCACGTTGCTTACCCGTGCTGTCACTCGCTGGGTCACTCTTTCCGTGACTGTTCTGGGATTTGTCTCCATGGACGCGGCTCTCTAAAGCTACGGGCGGGTAGCGACTGCCGAAGTTAGCCGCGTGAGTGTAGACAGGAGTCGTCGCCTGTGATGGTCTGTTGTAGACACTCGGCGGTTGACCTGGTGGTGGTGGCGCCACCTTCGCTGCGCTATAGTGTGCGGGCGAATGGTACCCGGACGTAGGTGGCGCTGCCTGTGATGGTTGATATCCAGGCGAGTAGTACCCGGATGTAGGTGGCGCTGCCTGTGATGGTTGATATCCAGGCGAGTAGTACCCGGATGTAGGTGGCGCTGCCTGTGATGGTTGATATCCAGGCGAGTGATGTCCGGATGTAGGTGGCGCTGCCGCTGACGTTTGGTAACCAGGCGACGGCGACGCCGACAGCCCGTAGAATGCAGGCGCCGGGGTCGAATGCAAGTATAGAGGTTTATCATGTTCGCTAGGTGGCAGCACCAGTGTGCGGCCGTACTTTGTCTGCGTAGATGACACTCCGTACGACGGCAATCGGCTCTGCTCCGAGAGAGGTCCGTGCGCGACGTGCAGCGGTGGCTTTGCTACAGGGTGGGTCGACTGGATACCCTGGTGCGCAGCGGGCGTGAGGTGAGCTGCTAAAGGTATAGGCGCATGCTGGCTGCCTCGTTGCGCGGTCGGCGTGTAGCCAGGGTAGCCTGGCTGGCTGCCCCGACGGGCAGTGGGAGAGTAATTAGGGTATGCTAGCTGACTACCCTGATTCGCAGCGGGAGGTGGGTAGCCAGGGTGTGCTGGGTGGTTACCCTGATTCGCAGCGGGTGGATAGCCAGGGTATCCTGGCTGACTACCCTGATGTGCGGGGGGTGGGTAGCCAGGGTATGCTGGCTGACTACCCTGATGTGCGGGAGGTGCGTAGCCAGGGTGTGCTGGGTGGTTACCCTGATTCGCAGCGGGTGGATAGCCAGGGTATGCTGGCTGACTACCCTGATGTGCGGGAGGTGCGTAGCCAGGGTGTGCTGGGTGGTTACCCTGATTCGCAGCGGGTGGGTAGCCAGGGTATGCTGGCTGACTACCCTGATGTGCGGGAGGTGGGTAGCCAGGGTATGGTGGCTGACTACCCTGATGTGCGGGAGGTGCGTAGCCAGGGTATGCTGGCTGACTACCCTGATTCGCAGCGGGTGGATAGCCAGAGTATGCTGGCTGACTACCATGGTGGGCAGCAGGCGGATATCGGGCGGCGAGGGGAGCAGGGTATGCTGGCTGACTACCCTGGTGCGCAGCGGGCGCATAGTGAGAGTGAGCAGGTTGACCGCGATGGGCGGCGGGGGGATAGCCAGGGTATTGACCGTGACCCTGACGGCTGGCCGTCTGTGCGTACGGTACATACGCGCGGCCGGCCGGCGAATACCCTGTAGCGGGGGCCGCTTGCGCGCGCGTGCCGTACGGATGCTGCACTGCTCCTTGATACGCAGGGTAGGGTAGCGGCTGCGACGGTGGCGCCGTCCTGCGGTTGAACTGTGCTCCGTACAGCGGGCCGCGGTGGGGGGCGTGGGAGGATGAGGGTGCCGGCTGCACGCCCCCCGGGTACTCCCCGCCCGCGTAGAAAACACCCGACGATAAGGCCTTTAAGTCGATTCCGTTCGTCTCGGCCGTGGACGGAAATCCGGCGGCGGCCGCCGGCGGATATCCGGCGGCGGGCGCGTACGGAGTCCCCGCCGATCCCGGCCCGAACGGCTGCCCGGGGGAAGCGCCGATGCCAGCTAAGGGCGGAGCAGGAAAACTCCCACGCCCCGGATATCCGCCGCGTCCCGGAAACCCGCCGCGTCCCGGAAACCCGCCGCGTCCCGGAAACCCGCCGCGTCCCGGAAACCCGCCGCGTCCCGGGTACCCGCCCCGTGCGGGATACCCACCCCGTGCCCCCGGTATCCCTCCTCCAAACGCGGGAATGCTCCCCGACCCGCCGTAGCCTCCGATCAGCGGCAGCCCTCCCTGTGCTCCCGGTCCTCCCTGTGCTCCCGGCCCTCCCTGTTGGGAGAGGGAGGCGATATAGAGCATATAGAGAAGCTCCGGATCGGGAGGCAACATCGAGAATACGACGGACGGGAACGGCTTGTAGAAACTGTTTCCGAACTGGTAGCCGAAGCGCTGACCCTTTTGTGCTCGTAGCCCTCGTTCTCGAACGCGTATCGCTTGTCGTTCGCTTTCGTCTCGCTCTCGCCCAGCAGCCTGTTCTGGCGATGCTGGTTGTACCCCTGGTGGTCGTGCTTGTTTCCGCCACTGAACGCACCGCGCCTGTACTCGCCATTGGTGGCGTATAGGTGCGCGCCGCCGTCGGTTCGGGCCGCCTGGCTGCTGTGACCCGCATTGTTTCGCACGTAGAGCGGCACCTCTTTGCCGTATTCGCCGGCCGCCGTGTGCTGAGTGACCTGTGACAACGAGAGAACGACGCGTGGAATTAGGTTACGTAGCCGACGGCGGTGGGGGGGGGGGAGGAGGCGGGGGAGGAGGGGGGGGGGAGCGTGACTTCGTAATGACATGCCTGGCTCTCTCTCTCTCTCTCGCGCGCGCGTTCGCTCTCCTCTCTCTCTCTCTGCTTCTGCTTCTCTCTCTCTCTCTCTCTCTCTCTCTCTCTCTCTCTCTCTCTCTCTCTCTCTCTCTCTCTCTCTCTCTCTCTCTCTCTCTCTCTCTCTCTCTCTCTCTCTCTCTCTCTCTCTCTCTCTCTCTCTCTCATTCTCGCTCCAGCGTTATGCGCACGCGCATGCGCCCTGGAAATGTTTCGCACATGCGCGTCCGCGTTAATATGCACGCCACGCAAGTGTTCGAATTATAATTGCGTCACACCTCGCCGCACATTACGCCTTAATAACTGCGCATTGACTGTCCGGAAAGAAAACAATGAGGGCTTGCGCATGCGCGTCACGGTTGTTGCTCGCATACGATCATTATGGGGACACCCGAAGACGCGCTTATAGGTTGAACAGCCAGCGGCAACGCTGACAAGACAAGGGCGGCGTGTATGTAGGCAGCATCAACAGAGGTTACGAAATCTGCCTGACCTTTAGTCACAGTTAACGCGCGTGACAAGCATGCACGATATATTGCGCGTTGACTGTTTATTACTCTGCGTGAATGATCGAAATATGTCACGAGAGGTTTTCATCCATGTCTACGTCTACGGCATATTATCTTGTAATTTTAATTTCCTATTTTATACTGAAGAGAGTAGTGGTTCGAAGGCTCAGTTTCGAAATTCTCAGTTTTTCGAAATTATTATTTACTGAACAAAAAAAAGTGATAGTCAGATCTGCTATGTCAAATCCATTTCCATCAGTCTCTTATCTCAAATATTTAATATCTCATTCTCATTCTCACTTAAAATATCATTTACGAAACTAAAAAAGTCATAGTTCGCAGTAGTAGTAGAAGGTGTAACAATCTACAGTTTCATTTCCATTTCCAGCAATATCTTATCTCCTATATTCAATATCCAAACAAAATTGTGAACGGCCTAACTGCGCATGAGAACAACGCAGATGCAGTACTGGTTAATATAACTAGTATCTCAGTTCAAGATCACTCCAAGGTCGCCATATAGAACTTGATTACCGGCGACGTGTACGTTTGCGTCTATACAAAACTCACTGGCGTTCACCTTTTGCTGGTGTTCACACCAACAGAAGCTCATAGCGATGAAAGAGCCACACGAGTAATAGCACAGACACTTGGAACGTCTCAATAAAAAAATAAAAATGGTAAATAAACACGAAATGTATTTACTACCAAGGTCTTAATGTTTCTCTACTCTCTTTCGCCTATTATTGCCGATAACTTCCTGTAAATGCCGTTCATATGCTCGTCTGCAACACATGAATACCCCGCACGCACGCCGCTGTGCACAAACAACTAGAATATCGAGTTTCTATATTATTATATTCTAATTGTTTGTGCACAGCGGCGTGAGTGCGGTGTACTTGTGTGTTGCAGAGCAGCATTTGAACGGCATTTACAGAAAGTTATCGGCAATAATAGGCGAAAGAGAGTAGAGAAACATTAAGATTTTGGTAGTAAAAACATTTCGTGTTTATTCACCTTTTTTATTGAGACGTTCCAAGTGTCTGTGAGTAATAGGGAACACGTGACCCGTACCACTAAGTCACACGCCACCAGGTCACACGCCACTAAGTCACACGCCGCCAGGTCACACACGCGAACTTACCCAGAAGACGAAGGCACCGAGAATCACAGCCAAACTTCCTTTTGTCATTTCACACCGCGTACATAGTAGCTTCGTCCATCCGAGTCAACCATCCGCGCTCCACCTGAAGAAGAAGCTCACAGGATGATCGCACAGTGAGATTTTTTCGAGAGAGAAAGAAAGAGAGAGAGAGAGAGAAAAAAAAGAGAGAGATTAAACCCTCGCGACTGCACAGCGACCGCGACAGTCATCCCCCGGGCGCGTGTGAACTATATATGTTTGGGAAGCGGCAGCGACGGAGAGCGCTAGGAATGGCGACAGAACTGTGTCAGAGGGTGTAGCCTGTGACTCGGTTTACGGCTCGACGGCCGTGCCGTACAGCGCGCCGCGGTCACCAGGATGTAGTGTCGACGATACTCACTGTACCTGTACGTGACGTGACTGACTGAGAGAGAGAGAGAGAGAGAGAGAGAGAAGAGAGAGAGAGAGAGAGAGAGAGAGAGAGAGAAAGAGAGACGAGAGAGAAGAGAGAGAGAGAGAGAGAGAGAGAGAGAGAGAGAGAAGAGAGAGAGAGAGAGAGAGAGACGAGAGAGAATAGAACTAGGGAGAGAGAGCGAGGGTCAGAGCGAGAAGAGCGGAGAGAGAAGAGAGAGGGAGAGAGAGAGAGAGAAAGAAAGAAAGAGAGGGAAGAAAAGAGAAAGAGAGAGAGAGAGAGAGAAGAGCGAGAGGAGAAGAGAAAGAGAGAGAAGAGAGAGAGGAATGGACGAGGAACGGGGCTGTCGGAAATTCACAACAATATCCGGCAATCTCTCACAGTCCGCCATTTTACCGCCATTATATCAATAAAAAAAAAGATAGTATAATATATATTATATATATATATATATATAATAGAGAGAGAAGAGAGAGAGAGACGAGAGAGAAGAGAGAGAGAAGAGAGACGCAGAAACACACACACAACACACACGCACACAACACACACACACACACACACACACACCACACACACCCACCCCACACACACACACACATTAATATATAATATAATATATAATATGATTATATATTATATATATACTTTTTTTTATGATATAATGGCGGTAAATGACTGTGGGAAATGCCGATATTGTTATGAATTCGCGACAGCCCCGTTCCTCGCCATTCTCTTCTCTCTCTCTCTCTTCTCCTCTCTCTCATCTCTCTCTCTCTCTCTCTCTCTTCTCTCTCTCTCTCTCTTCTCTTCCTCTCTCTTCTCTCTCCGTTTCTCTCTCTTCCATTTCTCAGGTCGGCTCCGATTCTTTCTCTCTCTCTCTATCTCTTTCTCTCTCTCTCTCTCAGTCAGTCACGTCACGTCATATATATATATATATAACTACATTGGATTGTGATGGTGTATTATCTGAATCATTTAGAGTTATTATGCACATGCCCATAATGTATAGAAATAAATCGCTGGTATTCATGCATGTATGACATAATATAACCATAATGTTCAACCCTTATAGTATATAGCTCCTTAGAATGTATTGAATATATATTTGTAATAATAAAACGTACGTAGACGACTACTCTCCTAATTACGAATGCAGACTTACCAGAAGACCTATATAATGTCGAAACCTCGGTTTTCCACGCTACGCACAGAATAGACCAACGGAGAAACTGCAATACTGAAACAGCAAAAAGATCATTAGGTGACGTGAAGCGACGGTACGCCCTCTAACGACATCGTGACGACATAGACCCTTACTGCAAGGTTGCTTTCGCTCATCTCACGGCGAACGACATCAATCTCTAGGGGAAAAACACGCGGAATAAGTACGGAATAGGCGGAACCAGTGCGTTCAGACGATTAGCAAAGGTGGTGATGACTTCTAACGGCACTGGAGTTTTGTTGAAGTGACGCTGAAACGATGTTTTAATTGCAGCGACGGTGACATTGTTCAACTAGCACCGCATAATTGCGTTTGCTAATGGAGACAACGTGATTTTATTAGTTCCTGTAAACGCTCCCAAGCTGCGGGCAGATGTCCCGGCGTCGACGCAAACACAAGAACGTCTGAGCAATCGCTAGAAGGCAAAGTCGACGACGCATACTGGTGTGTCATGTAGGCTAATATGTCACAGCACCAGCAGTGTACGTATTTAAGAGAATTCTCTCATTCATGCACTCTTGATAACACGACGTCACGTCAAACGTAAGCAAGCGAACGCTTGGAGGCACAGAAGCATGTTGAAGGCACCGGCGACATAGATACACAATTAACCTCCTACATGAAAATCTTCACGCGTTCCTTCTGTCACTCCGTCGCTCTGGATCACTTAAATTCCTCAACCGCTTGTGCGACGAAACAAGCGCCGGACAGCGAGTCGAATTGTCCGCTAAATGAAACATACACACACGCGCGCACACACACACACACACACACGCACGCACACACACGACGCGCGCACACACATACACACAAAAACACACACACGCGCGCGCGCACACACACACGACACACACACACACACACACACACACACACACACACACACACACACACACACACACACACACACACACACACACACACACACACACACACACACACACACACACACACACACTGGCGATACACTGCACCTTGAACTGTTCGAGACTTGTAGCCCACTCCTGTCTCCACCGAAACTTGCAATGACACTGAACAGCCAACGTGCAATGTCGCCCGACCTTACGTAACGGTTTTACGAGTGACCTCACCCGATTGCGCGCCGCGCATGACAATAGACTCGGGTCGTCTGCGCGCGCGAGTACGTACGCTATCTGCATGCCATGCCGCAGTTCCCCGCAACTCCCCCACGACGCGCGCAGCGGGACATGGCTGGACGGTCAGACGGCCCCGACCCTGCCGCAGATCATCAGCTGATCACAGACGCCAGGTGCATTAGGTTCGTAGCTCATTTGACCACGTACGTGTGGTCATCGTGTGCACATCGCCGGACCGTGGCTGGAGGGCAGAAAGGTCACGGTGACGATGTGATGTCAATCAGGAGGAAGTGTTTATCACGCAAACGAGCGTGGGGTTAATACCGAATTAATTTGTTGTGATTATTCGACAGTGTGCGGACTAGATATACTACCAGGAGTGAATAATAATAGATCTATTATTATTCAGTCCTGACACTATCACGGGCGGGCGGATGTGATTACGGTGGAAGAGGAGGGGGAGGTTTATAATTATATTTCTCCTAATTATATTTCTTCTTAGATATTTAATTAAGTTAGATTCACGCTAATGGAACACGTTTCGTAGATCCAAATGCCCGTATGGCGGTTGATGTGCGGATGAAAGCGCCTTTAGAATGATGGCAATTTTAGGATTGATAATTCTTATTCTCGTAAATCTTATTAAATGTCTTCTTTCTAGCACAACAATGTCATAATTATCTTATCGCGTGCGTGACAAAGTCTAGTGAATGCGCGTAACAACGGAGGGCTGTTTGCATTACGGTCGATTTACGGTTACCTGACTTTTATGCAGTCAATCTCCAGTGTAGTGTTAAGCCAAACAGTATTTATACTATTTCGTAGCAGAAGTTTATAATCAGAGACGCGGAGTTCACGCGTCTGTAAATTCATTATACTGCTTTACAACAGCAAAATATACCTTCCGTGAACGGAGGAGCGACATTCCTGACGGGCAACTATTAGACACGCTCTCTCTCGCCTCACCTTCTCTCTCTCTCTCTCTCTCTCTCTCTCTCTCTCTCTGTGTCTCTGTGCGTGTGTGTGTGTGCGCGCGCGCGCGTGCGTGTGTTTGTATAATATTATCAGGAGTAAGATAATATAGGATTATCCTATATTATCTTACTCCTGATATTATATATATCTGTGTGTGCATTAACGTTCTCTCTTTCTCGTGGGCCGCACCCATTCTCTCATTTTCCTCCTCTCTCTCCCTCGCTCGCTCTCTTTGCCCTCTCTCGTTCTCTCTTATTACCAGTTTCTATCAATATAGTGCAGGAAATTAGTTACAGCTGATTCATGTACAGGAAGTATAAGATTTACGAACAAAACTGGTTACAAAACACCCTACGTAAGTTGATCGGAATTAGGAACTCAGTCATGAATACGTAATTTGTTTTCTGTGTGATCGTAGAGCGTAGATATATTTGAATGTTATTAAATTATTATTAATTAAAAATTAAACTTTTATACTTAATTATAATTAAAATAATTTTTAGAAAGTACGTAGTTTACAAGTCTAGGTGTTAGTAACCAAAATAAATAAATAATTGGTAAGCTCTTTGTAATTGTAAAACTACAGACATTACATAGATGTCATTACATAGATGTAATGAATGATAACAAGAACAACAACATAAAACAATAGATCAGCAATAAGTTATACAGCGTCATCGTTACACAGTTGCCATTCTATTATAGGTGTGTATTTTTTCTCTAACGTGCGGTAGGTGGACAACATCGGCGGGTATTGTCAATTGTTCTCCGTTATGAGGTTACTGTGGCCATCATTGGTTGGTTACTGTTACTCTAGTGCTGCGTGACACCGCATAGCAATGAAACGCTACGCAACATCACACGCATGACCGTGTCAAGCTGGTAACTGTACGTTTGCGCGTGTGCGTGGGTGTCACGTCTGTATGTGTGAGTGCGTGCGTGCTTTACGAATGCGAATATGCTTACGTAGTCTGCAGCACCGGCCGCGTCACTATTGACCATAAACTCTAAGTTGCGATGATGGTTTCATCTACCCAAGCTGCGTCACTTCAGGAGCTACGCAACAGCAGCCATACTGGATTGAAAATCACTCTATGCCCTAGGGCAGGGAAGTAAAACGATAGTAAAGTGATCTATTTATTTTTCATTTTTCTGGCTAACGTGTATCTTTGAGCAAACTCTCCACAGAGAGGAGGTTCAGTCAGCTAAGTGATATTTGAAGGTGCTAGCATAGCGCAGGGCGATTTAAATTCTAGTATTGAACTCGTGCATTGTAAATAAAAATTTAAAATAAACCAGATAAGCCTTTGTATTTAAATCATGACGCACGTGTATATGGAAAAGACTTCTTAAAAATTCAGCTAGAATGGTTAAATAACATCAGCATAAAGCACCGTAGCATATCAAACAAATGCGTAGAAATTAAGTTTAGACAAGCTATAAATTTTGAGTCGAGCGTTGTTATTCAAATGATGAAACAAGCGCGTGCGCGTGCGCATGCGTGTGTGTGCGCGCGTGTGTGCACGTATACATATATAATGTGTGTGTGTGTGTGTGTGTATGTGTGTGCTGTGTGGTGTGTGTGTGTGTTTGTTGTTTGTGTGGGTGTGCTGTGTGTGTGTGTGTGTGTATGTGCTGTGTGTGTGTCGTGTGTGTGTGTTGTGTGGTGTGTGTGTGTTGTTGTGTATGTGCTGTGGTGTGTGTGTGTGTGTGTGTGTGTGTGTGTGTGTGTTGTGTGTGTGTGGTGGTGTGTGTTTGTGTGGTGTCGTGTGTGTGTGTGTGTGTGCCCCGTGTGTGTGTGGGTGTGTGTGTGGGTGTGTGTGCATGCTTGATTACCGCCTTCTAATGATTCCAGTTATCATTATCAAATTAAGCAATCATACGACTCACGTTCTTTACAGTGTAACCTAAACCATCTAAACGGTAATATCGCCCTTAAACATGCGCGGAGCACATCATGGAGCACATGTATATGAGCAACTATTTCTAATCGCTATCAACACTTACTAATATGCATTTATTATTATTATTATTATTATTATTAATAATAATAATAGTAATAATAATAATAGTTAGAATAATAATAAAGTGCCCGTGGCTACAGTGTCTGAGCTGGCAAAAATAATTGAGCAGATATAATGTAATAATAGAATATAATTTGTATATAAGGATGTTGTTATATTTTGTATAATAGTGTTTATATACTATATGTTATATTATATACAGCTCAGTAGCAGAAACCGAGGATTACTAGGACTAGCGCCATCTATCGATAGGTAATATCACAAAAGCCGCTTTACGTACCACTGTGAAAATGAGACCGCAGCCAGTGCAGGTAAATGCGCTTGCTCTGAGTTATTCATCCGTGATAAACGCCAAGCGCAAGTGTAGTAACTTCCATAAATTCGTTCCAGATAAAATACAGCCAGAATAATCACATGAAATTCACGAGAAAAACAATTTAAATTTCGGCGAAATATCTTTGATGACACAGCTATAGGACAACCCCGACTCGAAGGATAGTATGTCACCGTCTCGTAAATATTAACTCTTAATTCTTTCATCCTGATTGTGTTTACTAAATTACGTATTTCTCAATTTTAAACGCACATCAAAGTGTCTACACTGAACTAGCCGAACTGACGCTGCATGAAAGCCTGAAAATAGGCATATTCTGTTATTGCTCAGAAATCTGTTTGTTTTATAGTCGAATTACTGTAATATACTCCTATTTCGTCAAATATAGAACAATCTTATTGTATACTTTTTTATACTATATGCCTATGTAGCCTATACCGCATTATCGCGTAGCACTGGATAAGGGTCAATTTTCTCTTCTTTTATTCGAAGATACACCTATTACTCATAGATATCGAACTTTGATTAACGAATATCGCTTATTAGAATCGAGTCCTGCATGTATTGCTTAACATAAATTTTATAACGAGTGAGGGAAGCGCGAATGTATTTGTGTTGTGTGCTGTCGTGAATATTTGTATCATTGAATAATATTTTAATATACATTAATACCAGGAGTTTATCATCTCAGTATAAGCAAGAAATTTGCAGTGAAACTATTGGGCAGACCTTGAATAGCCAGCATATTTCGATAGACGCAAGAGACCGTTCATTAGACTTTTTTTATTTGACGGCACAAAGTCAGGGGGCCGTTGTCAGAAACATCGTAAAGTTAATGCTAATGCTCACTTGTTTGAGACACCATTTGTAATTTTTGAGAGTCGGGACACGATAAAATTTATTGCTGGTATGATGTGGTCAAATCAATTTTTCTATGCTATAACTGCATAAAATCTTGGTGTTTTGAATGTTGGTATAATCAGTGATATTTCCATTGTCAGGTGAGACTATATTCAGCTATACTTCGTTTTTCTGAGCCAAAAAACTCGCAATACACACTTTAATGCTACGATAACACTTACGACTAATGTTAATGTTACGAGAGTAGCGTTGACAGAAACACATCGTAGCTACGAGCAAACTCACGATAACAGGAACTTCATAATTTCATGTCACAAGGCTGCTGATTGGATGAGAATCGATCACAAAATTCAAATTCATACATATTCATTGTACATCACAGTAATTTATGCATATTATGATGGCTAACCACATATAAATAATATTTGATGAAAAACGACGTGGTCATGAATTTATTCTGCACAACAAGACAAATTCTCACACTGTAACGCGAGACGCGAGAATCGTGGCAAGTGGCAAAGTAGTTTAAACAAGAGAACAAATGCCATACACCATTTGTAAATGTTTTGCTTTGTTTTATGATCGGTAGATAATTAATGATTTTGACGAAAAACACACATTTTATTCATTATTATAAAATATAATATCACTATAATTGTAATTCGTAGTGTAAATGTGTTATTTTCATCTTAATATTAAAGTTACGAGAGGGTCTGGACTCTCGTAATGTTAAGAGGATATTTTCGAGGATTTTTCATTCTCGTAACTTTGCGATGTTTCTGTCAACGGTTTACAAGTGGAAGTTAATGTTAAGACTAATGTTAAGACTAATATTGTTTCTGACAACGGGCCTCTGGTGAATTACAAAGAACCAATAAAATATTTATAGTACGCTCTGCGAACAAGAAATAACGTGAGAAAACAGCGAATGCCTTGTTAAGATCGTAGCTAAGTTACGGAATTATATGACAGTATATCCTAATTGTATGAGAGTATATTCTAATTGTGTGGAAGTATATCCTAAATGTGTGAGTATAGTTTTATCATAATTGTGTGACGCATTAAAAACGCTTAAAATTAGTGCAAAAGGAGAGGAGATTTTGGATAGCTAATACTGATGTGACGTGTATTGTTGATGCCTCAATTCACACGAAGTGCCGCACTTAGTAATGCAAGTAAGTAGAACATATTTGGCAAAATAAAACAAAATGCATATTTTTAAATAACAATGTATATTTTAACAAGAATTATATACAAACAATGCAACAGTCAACCTGTTTCCATTCATCGCTATCAGAAAATGAGATAAAGTGGAATATTGAGCGCAAGACAGGCCCATAGATATTACTCAATGTCGTACGGAGGTTAAGTGTGCCTTCAACAACAAATGTTAATAATAACAAGAAGTATGTCTATGTTATGGTAATGAAAAGTAGATAAATATTAATGAACATCGTTATGATTAGCGTACAGGGACCCTCTGCAATGCGGTATGAGGAAGCGTTTAAAGCTAGCTAGCGCTCTGACACGACAGACAGTAGTTTTAGTACAGCAGGGCAAGCGTTGGCGATTAAGCCGCCAGCCCCCTACATCCACGTGTGTCTCCTACTCCTAGGGCAAAATTCGACGACAAAGGTTTATGCTGAAGATGATTATCCCAGCGAGAGAACGAAGGCTGAATATCACACGTGCGCCTTATAGACATGCGTAAGGCTAATGCCCATATCCTCCTCTTCAATATCCGCCTCCTCGTCCTCCTCCTCCGTATCCTCCTCCCCCATATCCTCCTCCCCCATATCCTCCTCCTCCGTATCCGCCGCCTCCGTAACCACCGCCTCCGTAACCACCGCCTCCGTAACCACCGCCTCCGTAACCACCGCCTCCGTATCCACCGCCTCCGTATCCGCCGCCTCCGTAACCACCACCTCCGTATCCACCGCCTCCATGTCCTCCTCCGTATCCACCGCCTCCATGGCCTCCTCCTCCGTATCCACCGCCTCCATGGCCTCCTCCTCCGAGAGTAGGGTAGTAGGGGTTGTAGTTTCCGTAAGCGTACGTGGCGTGCGGCTTGTAATAGGAGAATCCGTCCTTGTAGCCGTAGCGTTTGCCCTTGTTGTAGACTTTCTTGTTGTTAATGTAGTTGTGGTTATCGTACAGTCCCTTGTTTCTAAAAGAAAGAAATCGCTGGGTAATGTTTGCTCGCGTGTCTCTCGTTTACCGCCGCGTCCCTCTTTTGCTTCCCCCACCCCTCATTCTATCTCACTCGTTCTCGCTATTGTACACGCGAAAACACGCGGACAGAAATTGGTGAAACTCACGACCAATGGCCTTGGTTACACCTTAGATTTACCATAGCGTTCCTCCAATCCCACGCAGCCTTCTTTATTTCTACTGGAGATTCAAGAACTGAAAGACACTTACATGTATCCGAAGTTGCTCTTGTAGTGGTTGTTCTGCTGGTATCCATCATGGCCGTACAGTTTTCCGTACTTGTCGTATCCCTTCTTGTACGCGCCACCGTAATGCTTTCCGTAATTGTCTCCGTATCCTTTGTTACCGTAGGTGTTCGAGTGAGCGTTTCCCAGGTTTGGGTAGTAGCCAGGAGAGTAGTAGGAAGGCGCTGAAGCTTGTACGTAAGCAGCCTGCAAAACCACAAGAGGATGCGTCACTGACTAGCCAAAAAACACACCGCACAGCTATGCCAAACGATGTATACTACAGCGCTTATATTCTCAGTGCGGTTTCGTACTTGGGGCCTTATTCTATCTAAACATAAGAGATGGCAGTATCAGTGTTTAAAACGAGCAATCTTTGCCGAGCTGTCACACAATGACGTGACACGGAGACCATTAAACAGTTATTATACGATACCGTACAGTCATCTGACCGTCCTGAATACTAGAATACACATCAACTGTCGTGTCGGAACGAATTTAGAGCACGCGAGCAAATCGAGTCACGGCCCGCGATAGACCGACTCGATCGCTAACGAACTTAGTGAACTAATAAAACCAAAGAACGTTTGTCAACGTCAACTGGGAACTGATAGAGCTTGTTTGGGACAGCCACGCCGACCCTACGTACCGCGTAGCGTTAAACCACTGGCTTGACTGTCCGGGGGTGGGGGTGTCACCGAGTGTGCACGGGTAAATAACTACTTACACCGTGACAGGCCTACATACGAAACGATGTAACAGAGGACGAGCTACTGTACGGTCATAGCGTTAAACCAGTGTCGTATCATGACCCTTATAGAGTATGTATTCGTGTATAGGTGTGCATGTGTCTAGATTGTATAGAGTGTTGGCGTATAGGTGTATAGAGTATAAGTGTATCTTTAGGTACAGGTGTCTAGAATGTATAAAGTGTTGGCGTAGAGGTGTATACGTGTCTAAATTGTATAGAGTATAGGTGTATAGAGTATAGGTGTATATTTAGGTACAGGTGTCTAGAATGTAGAGAGTATAGGTGTGTAGGTGTATGCGTGTCTAGAGTGTATAGATTGTAGAGAGTATAGGTGTATAGGTATAGATGCTTGCGTGATCACATAGTAAGATGCGGTACATGTGTTAGATGCGAGACAGGTTCGCTGCTGTAGACTTACCAGGCATATAGCCGCCGCTATAGTAATGATGATATTCATTGTCCTGCAAAAGAAAGACTTCAAATTAGTAAGCTTCAATGCTCACACAGTCGCATTCAGTTATCTCTAGTAATAAAAGCTTGCCGAGTTTTCAGGTTTTTGTGTGTAATTCTTAATAACAAGTTAACAACGTGAGGGTTAAGTTAGATAGACAATGAAGAAGTAAACACGCGATATCTTTCGATTGTGAAACAGTTTCACACAGAATTGAAGTAAAGCGTCACATTTCAAAAACGTGAATAAGCAAAACACCGGCACGACTACGCGATAAAATCAGGAAATGCTCGTCGTATGCCTACACAATCCCACGCCAATGCTACCTCCTCGAATGCAGTCAGTCGACGCTTTCACTTACCTTTGTTAGTAATCCTTTCGTATCCTCACAAAGTGCGCACAGGCTAGGAGCTCGGACCAGTACTGTGAGCACTTTCACATCGATCAGGTTTTATACTCGCCACGGTGTCAATGCGACCCGCGTTAGCGCGCAAGCTTGCATGCTCCACCTGAGCGCTGAACGCACGCCGAGAGCGTCACCAGAGTTGTCATCGAACTTCGCCGGCGGCTAGGGGACAGTGGGTCATAAAGGTGGGGACCAAATAATTGCGGCAGAGGCGCGATGCCCGAGTGCAAACTAGTGTGCGACACTCGCCTCGCTCGCCAATGTTCAAATTACGGGGGCGAAAGGTTGTAGACAAAGTGGATAATTAAGGCCAGGTTTTTACCCGTTGGTATGTCGTAATGAATGACAAGGGCTGTCAACCTATGGCCCAGCACACCCGCACACTAAGCATGCACAGTCTGGCCCTCTGAAGAAAAATATACGCATGAAACGCGCGAAGTTCTGAAGGCGGGAAAATCTGCCCCTTTATTATTTCGTCTAGAAAAACATTCGCGATTGGAAGTTCGTCACATGAAAAATGGGGACAGAACTTTAAATTGATATGACTAGAATTCATAGCAGTTAGGATAAATTCGAATTATAAAAGCAGTGAGAATAATTGCTATGGAAAAGTATAGGAACAGCGGCGTGGGGTTATAAGTGAAAGACGCCAGCGAAAATAAAGTTGAAACATATTTTCGTGGTTCGCAAGGTATCGGGCACATGTCACATTCCATATGCATGAGCAAAACGAGTGGATATCGCACAAAGCAAGAAAACAGGACACATGAGTGCGAAGAGTTGATGGCGAAAGCGAGCGAGCGAGCGAGAGAGAGAGAGAGAGAGAGAGAGAGAGAGAGACGGCGCGCGAGAAAGAGAGAGACGGCGCGCGAGAGAGAGAGAGAGAAAGCGCGTGAGAGAAGTGGGGAGAAAGCGAGCGAGAGAGAGAGAAACAGAGAGACAGAGAGAGAGAGAGAGAGCGACAGTGAGGGGGAAGATAGTGAGCGAGCGAGCGAGCGAGAAAGAGAGAGAGAGAGAGAGAGATCGCCCGCGCGAGAGAGAGAGAGAGGGCGAGAGAGAGAGAGAGAGTGGAGAGAGAGAAAGGAAAGAGCACAAGAAAAAGGCAGAAATCTGAGAACGAAAGCGCACACAAGAGAGATGAGACGATTAGAAATGAAGAAAAGAAGACGAAGGAGAAACCGCGCGGCGAAAGAACGAACAAAGAAAGAAAAAGAGGTGGGAACAAGATAGTGAAAGAAAGCGAAAGAGAGCGAAAGAGAGAGCAGGATTATATATATATATATAATTATACGTAAAAACACATGGACATTCATCAAAAGAAAAGAGAAAGAGACACATGTTCTCAAAAACTTGCAAAAGAAAATTTGACACCTCTTTCAATTTTTATATTCATATATTTTCATCTCGCTCTCTCTCTCTCTCTCTCTTTTTTTTTTCTTTCTCTCTACCTGTCAATCTATCTAGCTATCGATCTATCTATCTATTATAATTATACATATATAAATATATATAAAGGAGCTATATAATTATGCATTTAATCTCGTCTTTTTACCCCCACTTTTCACGCCTGTAATGTTACGCGGCATTTTGCAATCTATTTTGCTCTCGGCTATCAGTAGACGCTCTTTGAAGCGGTCTACATTGCCTTGCAATGCTTCATGATGGGCGCAGCAGCTAGCGTACGTAATCGGCAGTGCTGTTTGTGTCAAAATCATCAGTCCCGAAGTCACACCGACTGCTATTTTTTATCGTGTTTGCGGTTATAGGTCGCGAACGCAACCACTTTCTTCTGCCAGCACACGATGGCTTGTGTCGCCATCGCGTACGTGCCGTGACCGCGTTACGAGGCGTAAATTTTGCAACGGATGTTGATGGCGGTGGACACACACCAGTAGGTCATCGTGGGGGCGGTCAAATAGTTTACAGCTCAGCGTGGCTGATGGAAAACTTGGCTGATGAAAAACTTGGGCGAAAGGTGTAACTGGGTAAACAAGGACACGGGGAATGTTGCCACTAGGCAGAAATTACACGCCGGCACAATAGAAAGTTCTAAGCAGCATCTCTCCTCCGGCTCCTCATGTGTTAGTTACGTCTTTGTCAACTTTGTATTGTGCTAGAGATCAGTAAGTGGAACAACGAAATAATGCAGGCAATTATTTCTGAGCATTCGACAGACATAAAACGAATTTCACAAACATACGTTTTTTTGAAATTTTGAGGCTGACCGGCGCGCGCTGTCTCGGTAAGCGATTTCTTGTGAATGATACGCTACTGCTAAACATTTAACAATCAGATCAATTGAAATCTCGCTAATACACAAAGCGCGCAAATTAAAGAAAAATTAAAAGACGAATGAAAAGCGACTGCGACACGGATTCGTTGCGTTTCTAATCATCTCTGTATTTTCTCTCTGCGTCTCTCTGTCTCTATATCTTTCTCTCTCTATCTCGTTCTCGCTCTCCCATAGTCATAGTCACGTTTTCTCAATATCTATTTCGTTCTCTCGATATACATACACTTTCTCTCACACATATACACACATATTTTATAATATATATATATATGAATTGATGGACGAATAGGTTGATGGGCAGAGGGATGGACGGACGGATGAATAAATCGATGGATGGATACATGAATGGTTGGAGGGACGGACGGGACGTTAGACAGATGGACGGATTGATAGATGAATGGATGGACGGATGGATTGAAAGAAATATAAATAGGTAGATAGACAGTCACCCTGTTGTCTTGCAAGATCGACGCAACCAATATTTATTTCAAGTAATGGTAACTCGACTGTTACTGTAAATATGTGTCATTTGGATTCGCGCACTCGCTTTCCGTGACCAATTCTACATGATGGGGTATATTTGTGCCGCGAGATTGTACCCGCACAGCGTCATGTTTTAAAACATCAACAAATTGCATACGGCTTGGCAAAACCGTCGAATAGTCACGCGTCCGAGTCTGGGTCAGTAAGTCTGTGTGCTAAGTAACGAAATGTTGAGTCAGGGCGGGATGTTGTCATTTGTGTCAATTTCGTCACCCGCCACGTTTTCGTCTCGGGTGAGTAGAACGTCTCTCTGCTCTGACGCGGTGCCGCAGAGTAGAAGAGTAGCAAGTCTGCATACACGTGCGAATACATCGCAGTGACAATGCTTGGGGAACAACATCAGAAAATGCATCTAACTGTCTGCTGCTGGTGCCGAAATATATCCAGCGGCCTTTATTTTGAGTTGACCACTGAGAGATTTCGGTAGAAGCTTAATAAAATTACACATATGCGTCAGGTATCGCCGCCTATGTCTGTATATAACCTCGTATGCTCAGCTAAACTGACACAGCAATATCGACAATATCAATATAATGAAAATATAATAATAAAATATACCATATATATATATATATATATATATATATATATATATGTATGTGTGTGTTTGTGTGTGTGTGCGCG